CAAAATTACATTTGTACAGTGCCTTTCAGATCGGGAGGACAGTCAGGCATTTAGACAGGATTGAGGAATAAGGGAGGGTAGAGGGCAGGGAGGTAGGAGGGTGCCCAAAGGCACAGTTGAACAGGAGAATCTTAAGACATGTCTTGAAGGAGGCAAGGGAGGGAGCGAGCCGAAGGGTCTGTGGGATGGAGTTCCAAAGGGTGGGGGCAGAGTGTAAGTGGGGTGGGCCAGGTGGGGGACATGTAAACATGACATTTACCTCTCGCAATATCTGACCTGTTACTGCCACTTTCGCCTACACATACGGGCATTACATTTTACACTATCTCCTTCTACCCCACTCCTCCCCTCCACCCTCTCCATTCAACAACACTGTTGGATTTATACAACAGCACAATTAGCATTTATATAGTGGTCCTCATGCAGAGTAGCATCCCAAAACGCTTTCAGTTATCTTGAGTTTGCTGCGCATTCCCCTGCCCACCATCAGGTATCCAAGCCTTCAGTCCAATGCCCTTAACCAATGATACTCCCTCCCCCACCACTCCATCTCACACCCACTCTTTTATAATCTCTAGAATCTAAATAAATTGGATCCAAATAAATTACGTAATCTGGATCCAAATGCATTAACGTTTCTTTTCGCAACTCATCCACAGCTTTGCAATGCATTTTGAATGTTTGTTTGGACTGGCTACTGCAATTTCTTCCATATGCCCAACACTCATCTAGTATAATGAAAACATTCATATTTATGAAGATTAAAACATACGAACATCAAAACATAAGAAATCGCCATTTGGCCCAATTTAGGCAATTCCTTCCACAGACCATATATAATACACCATATTATGGACTATATTCCATCCAACCCATTTCATCTTTGAGAAATTCTGCAAAGTATGCTCCCTGCTCCCCACAATAAGTCAAAGAAAGCTCTAGAGTACATATGTAGCTACATTATATACCTTATGTTTTATTTTGATTTCTGGAGTCCTGTAGCATATTGGTTAGAACATTCGCAATGCAAGCGAGAGGACCCAGGTTCGATTCCAGGGGCAAAACCTTCGCCATGGTTCATACTCCACACAGCTCTGTTCATCTAGCAGTAAGTAGGAACCCAGTTGTTAGTCGATTGGTGGATGGCTTTTCGCGGATAATAATCCTTTCTAAATTATAATAATTTGGTCATTCAATCCACAACTGTTTGTTGGACACTGCTGTGCGCAATTGGCTGCCGCGTTTTGCCCACAAATATACAGTCAATTCACTTTGCAGTATATTCTGTGAAGCGCTTTGAGACATCTAGAAGACATAAAAAGTGCTATATCAAATGCAAGGATTATTATTATGATTATTATTTGAAGTATGTTCTGTGAAGCGCTTTGTGATGTCTCAATGACGTGATAAGGCACTATATTAAAAGCAAGGATTATTATTATGTTAGTCATTTTCCCTATATATACTAATGATGTGCCTCTCCCAGGTTGGGCAATAAGCAGGAAGGCTTACCTAGAAACTAAGGTCTATAGGAACAGCTGTTGGCAGTGAGGATGAAAGTGTCCTTTGTGTTTGGGAATGAGTCTTGTGCCTCCTGTTTGTCTCTATGTTTCTTTTAGTGTTTCTCTTCCTCGCTTCCTGATTTCTCTATCCCTATCACCAAATTTTCCAATGTCTGTCTTATCTCTATTGAATGCCTTAGTAACAATAACAACTTACATTTGTATAGCGTCTTTCACGTCAGAAACTCGAGCAGGGGGTTGGGTTCAGGAGAGGTGGAGGGCAGGGAGTGGAGGGGTGGCCGAATGCATGGTTGAAGAGGAAGGTCTTGAGACATGCTTTGAAGGAAGCAAGGGAGGGAACAAGACAAAGGGAATGTGGGATGGAGTTTCAAACGGTGGGGGCAGAGAAGCTGAAGGCCAGGCCGGCACCGGGGGTGTCGGACATGGTGCAGGCTGGAGAATGCTAAATAAATGGAGCAGACAGGTTGATATGGGAATAGCAGGTCACAGAGGTAGGAAGGAGCAAGGCCAGAGGGCCTTTTGAAGACAAGGACAAGGATTTTGAACTCTATGCTTTGGGAAAGGGGAGTCAGTGAAGCTAGGCAAGGATGGGGCTGATAGAGTCACGGAGCGTGGTGTTGGAGAGAACTCGAGGTGCAGAGATCTGGATGATCTGCAGTTTGTGGAGGGAAGAGTTGGGATGGCCGACAAGCAAGGAGTTGGCATAGTCGAGCCTAGATGTAATAAATGTGTGGATAAGGATTTCAGCGGACTGAGGGGAATGGCAGTGACGGAGTCGGGTGATGTTGAGGAGTTGGGGGAAGGCAAAGCTGGTCATAGTACAGATGTAGGGTAGAAAGGACAGTTGAGGGTCAAACAAGACGCCAAGGTTCCGGACTTGCTCGGTGAGGTGGAGTGTGCAACCGTGGATGGTGACGCTGTCAGCACCTGAGGTGTGGAAGCGCTGAAGGGAGACAATCAGGAGGGCCTCGGTTTTGTTGATGTTCAACTGTAGAAAGTCGAGGGTGGAGGCAAAAAGATAGATTTGAATGTCATCCGCACACATATGAAAGTTGACCCCATGTCTTAGGATGATGTCACCAAGAGGGAACATGTAGATATTGAAGAGGAGGGGACCAAGTACAGAGCCCTGAGGAAGGCTGCATGAGATGGTGCGGGGGCTTGAGGAGTAGCCATTTGTGGAGACAAAGTGGAGACGGTGTGAGAAGTAGGATTTAAGTCAGTCAAGGACAGAACCATGAAGGTTGAGGTGAGAGGACAAGCGGTGGAGGAGGATAGAATAGCCAACCCTGTCAAAGCCCGCAGAAAGGTAAAGAGGATGAGGAGATAGATGGAGTCCTGGTCATAGATTGACAAAAGGTCATTTGTCACTTTGACCAAGGCTGTTTCTGTATTTTAGGCAACACGGAAACCCGATTGGGGGGATTCTTAGAGGGAGTGGCAGGAGAGGATGGAACAAAGCCAGGAAGGAACGACTTGTTCCACACCTTACAAAGGAAAGGGAGGTTGGAGATGGGGTGGTAATTTGAGTGCAGGAATGGGTCCAGGCAAGGTTTTTTGAAGATAGGAACTATGACAGCTATTTTTAAGGAGGTGGGAAGAGTGCCAGTGGACAAGGAGATGTTCTATTTGTTGATGATGTCTGTGAGTAGAGGGGCAAGGAGGTGGAGTTGGGAGGTAAGAATAGGGATGGGGTTGAGGGAGCAGGTAAGTGGTGGTTTCATTTTGGTTATGATGGTGGTGAGAGAAGAGTAATACATTGAAGTTGTCCCTGCATTCTCTTGCTCTGTTTCATACTCAGCTGCTCACTTCCTGTGTATCTCTATCTGTTCATAGTTTTCTTATAATAATAATAATAATCCTTGCATTTGATATGACAACTTATCATGTCGTTGAGATGTCTCAAAGTGCTTCACAGGATATATTGTAAAGTGAATTGACTGGGCAAAACATGGCATCCAATTGGGCACATCAGTATCCCACAATGAGTCTTGGATCGAGTGACTAATTTGGGTGGGGGGAAGGATTTTCTTTTGGAGGGATTATTACCCCCAGAAAGCAATCTGCCAATCAACTAAGAACCGGGTTCCCATTTACTGCTAGGTAAACAGAAACGCTCCACTGTCTGGTTTCCCCTCCCTAAACCTGGGAAGTCCAAGGCTGATTTAACCTCCTTATGCCATCCACACAAAGACCAGCAAACTCACACAGACCACAATTTTAACCAGTGAGTTTCTGGTCTGTGAACTGCAGCTCCATCCACTAAAACGCAAGGGCTGCCTTTGCCAATCGGAATTTCTGTCCATTGATCTGAAAAAGACAAGATGATTTGGCTTTTTGCAACATTTTAAGAAGCAGCCAAACCAAATGTGACTGTGTCCCAAGTGTTTTTTTGAGCTGTGCTTTTCTAACCACATGGTCTTTCTCTATTGGCCCATAGAATTTATTTAATTGTAAAAACGATTTCAATAATATAATCTTCCACAACTATCCTGATATTATCCGGATATTTGAGGTAACCCATATTCAGTGATTTTTATTGTTGATCAGCAGGTGTCCGACACATGCGGAAACCCATCACTATACTCAGGAGTATCCAAACCAAACTAAACATGAAAATTCCTTGCATCCATTCACTTTGAAGGCTCAATGTTATAATGTTCAGTTTGTCTCACGTATGGAATGGTCTAATTTTCTCACTGTGTCCAGTTAAAAAAGCCATTTGGGAGTGTTTCATACAAATTAATGAAAGTCGAGGAAAGGAACATCCGGCGTATTCAAATTTTTCTCAACTTTGAGCCAGTGTTAGTGGTATTTAATTCAAGAGGAAATCTCAAGAGAGATTTATTCAAGAGGGGGTTATTCTCTGCTTGTCAGTAAATTTACTGACCTTGGCGGTGTGCGCTTATAATGGGACAACAGCATTGGAATAGGTTATTTGCTAGTAAAAACAATTAACATTGCAGATGTGTAAAATTCAGCGGTCAGTGAGCTATGGAACAGATCTGACGCAGACACTCATTTTGGGAGATGAGCTTCAGATTAGATCTCTTTGGCTCCTTCTTCAGATTTCATAGAGTTGCAGAGGAAGAATGACAGCAAAAAGAGATGCAGGCAGATGTCTTATTATATTGTATGCAACATGTAACTGCCCTTTCTCTCCACTTCCGCCCAATCAGTTTCCAGTGCAGCAGCTTGCTTCAGCAATGATACATGTTTGTCAAATGAGCAGCACATTCATCAGTTAACAATCCATAAATCTTAGAGCTATAATAAACATTACTTTGTTGGAGTGGATGGACTTTTGGATATACCTTCTGTGTACCATTCAACACCATGCTGACTATTAACGGCATAAATTAAGATATCTGCTGTAACTTGAAGAGGTTTGATTAAAAGAAAATGCAATTGCTTTGTGTGGAAGATTCCTGTGAGATGTTAGCACTTGCTTTTGTAACACTGGGCACCTTCTTCCAGACCCTAAAATATCCATGTGTTTGGATTACAATAAGACCATAATTTTTATGGCTCTTTGGAACATTGTGTGCAGCTGAACTCCACAGAATTTGGAAAAACATCTGTGCAGGAACAAAGAAAAGACTACGAGCAACAGTTAAGTGTGAAAAATAATTATATCAAAATAAACTAATAAAAGTATTTACAATTATAAATCCCTAACAATGTGCCTACCATTAGAGAACTATGTTATGTGTTTCCTTTAATATAATAATAATCCTTGCATTTGAAATAGCGCCTTATCACATCTTTGTGACGTCTCAAAGCGCTTCACAGAATATACTGTAAAGTGAATTAAGTGGGCGAAAAGTGGTAGGCAATTGCAAAGAACAGTGTCGTGGATTGAGTGACCAGATTATTATTATTTTTTGAACGGATTATTGCCCTCGGAAAGCAATCCACCAATCAAATAACAACCAGGTTCCCGCTTCCTTTTCCTAGTTCCAACTGTTGACGTCTTTGAGGATGTTTACTGGCCTGACTTGGTGCATCTCATACCTGTATGAGAGAGAAAAAGAATATCCCTGATTGTGTGTGTCCACAAGGTGAGAGGTAGAGAAGAAAGTGGAAGTCTATGGCTTTGCCCCCTTACCAATACTGCTACAGAGATGACTTGTTTCTGACACTACATTGCCAAGCGCGACACATTGGAGCAAACTCATCTCCAAGGAGACTCCTCGTACCTTCCCCTCCTTCATACCCTCCCCTCCTCCACCCCCCTTCTCCACAGCCCCTCCTCCACCCCCCCCTTGCTCCAGCCCATCCACACTCCCGCCCTCCAGCCCCCCCCCCCCCCCCCCCCCCACCGCTCCCCCACCTTCAGGGTGTTCAATAACAGGTCAGTCTAGGCCAGAACCCTTCCTCCCTATGTTTACACCAATTCATCTCACTAGTTGTTCCTGGACTTCACAAATAGGCTGACAGAAAGCCCTCCACTGCATGTACCATGAGCCCCAAATCATTATAATTCAAATTAATATTTTTTGCAATTAACACAAACAGTTGCAAATTTTACTTGATTTTTTAAAAAAAATTTAAACTCTTGCATACATTTTAAAAAGTTTTAAATTAATTTGGAATTTGTGCGCTTTCCACAATTCTTAGATCCAAACCACCTTCCAAATTAACTCTGAATTTAATAGAATGCAAAATTTTATTTGTATAGCACCTTTCATGTGGGGAGGACGTCCCAAGGCCCTGGAATGTCAGAGATTTGGACCTGAGTGGAGAGAGGGGATTATATTCCCATAATACTCGGTTTATATTCTCAATCCCTTTTAGAATCTTATGTGGCTCAATTAGTTCCCTCTCTGAGACATCTCTTTTCAAGGCTGAACAGCCCTAGTTTGTCTAATCTTTGTTCAAAGCTCATCTCTGACACTGGGCAGCATCCTCGTTGCTCTCCTTTATTCTACTTCTGGAGCCTTGACAACCTTCTTATGTCATGGTGACTAGAACTGTACATTTTACTCTCATTACAGCCTGACCAGACCACAATACAACTTGATCAAGACTACTCAGAATCTGAACTCAACTGATTTGGCAATACAGCTCAACAACATGTTTGCCTTTTTGTTTATTGCTGGCTCACATTGTTTTTTCACATGGTACCACAACATTTGTTTTAGAGCTGAACCCACTTTTCCCAGCCACAATATTCTCATTTTGCTCAACCATGGATAAGTTGGTTGCAAACAATCAATTTTGACCCTCAGGTCTCTTTCCGCTTCCCCCTTTATAAGTTCTATCCCATCCATAGAATAATGTGCCTCCTCCTTTTACTTACCTAAAAGCAACACCTTAACCTTACCCATACTGAACCTCAATTTCACTGGGTGGGATTTTTTTCCCTACTCAGCTTCTGTTAAGTCTCCAAGTCAAAGCATAATCGGTTGTGAGGTCCCAGCTGGACAAGCACCAAAATGCTTGACAGGCAGAGCTTTCAATGGCAAGATATGTGGTTTTAGCAGATTAAGTTCCAGCAATACCCAAACCCACACTCTGGGGTCCCCAAGTTGTGACTCTTGCCAACCTGCATCTAACACAGTCTGGATTTTGGTAAGCAGGATATGTCTCTCCAGGGAGTGTGTGCATTCCATTCCCAATGCTGTAATTTTCATGTGTAAGTGGCATATATATATAATTCTCAGTCTTATTTGTATACTCTTAAGCATGGTGATGGGTTTCTGCATGTGTCAAACACCCAGCTGACCAAAAGAAATTGACATCATTAGTCCATACCTTGTCAAACTCTCATTCCATGACTGTTTGTGGGACATTGCTGCACGCAATTGGGCTGCTGCATTCGCCTATAAATACACAGTCACTCCACTTCACAATAAATTCTGTGAAGCGCTTTGGGAGTTCCTTCTGACATGAAAGATGCTATACCAAATGCAAGGATCTTTAAACTCTCTATCCAAGATCTTGGCTGCCTCCTCTGATCTCCCAGTAAGTGATTTAAACTCTTTGAATAGGCTGTCTACTCCTGGTTTCTGACCTATTTTCTAATGCCTTCAGTACAGAAAGCAAATACAATTTCAGTTATCAAATTTGCAAGATTTTTCAGATCAAAGAACAGTTAGTTTATTTGCTATGCAGTATTTTATTTCTTCATATATTCAAATCCATTCAAATGGAAAAAGTAATTTCTGCACAATACTGTAAAAGGTGGACTCCCAAAATCAAAACAATCTTTTTTCGTGAAACAAATCTGCTGTGAAAATATTGTTAGAATCTTTACATTTTACCTCAGCAAAAGATTTTGGCAATCTACATTCCAGTCTTCAGAGATTTAGAAATTGAGTAAAAAAAGGAAAATACACAATCTATTCAAAGTGAGCAGTCTCACTGCTCTCGTTCAATCCTCTCCATGTTTTCACAGCAGAATTGAGCAAACACTTAAACTTTAACCTATCAAGGTGATTTTCATATCAATAGAACCTTGTATCTAATTCACAGTACAAAGCTTCTTCTGGCTTCCTATTATGTTTCGCCCACAAAATATACAGTCAATTGGCTTTACAGTATATTATGTGAAGTGCTTTGAGTTGGCTCAATGATGCAATAAGTCGCTATATCAAATCCAAGGATTGTTTTTATATTGTATAAACGGTATAATAGGTTGAAGAGGATTGGTAGGTTTTATCAACTGTGTAACATAAGTGAGTAACACTGACATACACGCCTGAAATAGTCACCTCGGGGGTCATTCCTGGTTGTTAAATATGCTGATCCTTGGAAAGATTATTACTCTCCATTTATGGGTAAATTTACCTACCTTTGGCAGTAGCAGTATGTACTTAATACAGCATCTGCCCATTTTAAGCACACAGTACCAAAAGTCAGTGGCAAGTGGAGAAGAACAACACTTACATAGCACCTTTCATGTAATGTTTCGCAAAGCTACTGGGAACCACTGACTGGGGAAGAAAGGAGAAGGAACTTTGATGATAACACATTGGCTGTGTTAGCAGAGCCTTCACACAAGCACAGATTTTTCTGATTGCTCTTTTTGCTTTCACAGGTTTTTTTTACAGTTCTCACTGGCTCAAATATTCTGGGATCAAACGTGCTTTTCCCAGCCAAAGATAGAGACCAGATAGTGAGCAGCTATAAAAGCGACATTCTTAACGATGGCAAAGTAATCATGGTGGTGGAAGGAACTGGGAGAAAAGAAATAACAGATCCCACAGTAAATTATGTTCAACAGTAGATTTCGGTATTGAATGAAAATAGCAAAACCAGTAGAAAATGGTGTTCTTTTATGGCAGATGTGCAATGTATTACTTTACCTCCTAATAAATAATCAGCAGCATCATGGGCGGCCAGGACAAAGGTCCCTACATGAATAAAGTCTGCACAGCCCTAAAAACTGAGAAAAATGATCGCCACGTGGTGGATCATTTGCTCTTCAAAATCCTACAATAAATGAAATAGNTTTTTTTCCAAAATTGCTTGGCCAGCATTTTACAATTTGCAGCAGTACAGATGTCAAACGCATCCAACAGATGTGGCTTAACCACCCACCTATACTGCCAGCTGGACTCAAAGTAAGCATTCTTCATGTTGATGATTAAGCCAAGAATGACTGCTTTGAATTCAAAATTAGTTCATACTTGACTATTTGCACCATAGATGTTGGATAATGGTATAGTTCAGATTTTTGTTCTACCGTGTTTCTTTCGTGTAGAATTATACCTATAAATAGTTGTGCAGCTGGAATTACATTTTTGTAGCTTGCTGGGCAGAGATCTCACTGCTGATTTAGTCTATCTTTCTGTACATTGTTATAATATTAATATTAAATAATCCTTGCATTTAGTATAGTGCCTTTAACATTGGGAGGACATCTCATAATACTTCACAAGATTTAATATAAAGTGTAGTGATTGTGTAGCTTGCAGGCAAATGCAGCAGACAATTTGCGCACCGCAATGTCCCACAAACAGCCATGAATTGAATGATGTATTTTATTTGGGGAATTATTGACCAGGAAACCAGAGAAACTCCTTTCACTTTTTGAATAGTTACACGGGATCTTTAACATGTACCTGAACAGGCACTTTGTTTGTTCCCAATATTTGGTGTGACATTGAAACAAAGAGACCAAAAACATCATTGCTTTAACTCTTGGTTTGTTTTAGCCAATTGCAACTGTGCTTGTCGGTATGTCCCGGGGTTGAGAAAGCCCTGAATGTAGCACATTGATGGTGTGAACAGCCCCAAGTGCAGACAAGATTGGATTTGGCAGCATCATTCTTGTGTTTGAATAACTCAATGTCCATACTGAGTCATTAAAAATTGGCACTTGAGTGCGGTATTGGATGTCCGTCATTGCTCTGAGTTTACTTCAGTTGCTTGAGAAAGATACTGGGCAAGGGAGGAAACATTGGAGAGGAGCATTATCTTTAATTGCACACTGCAGTTAATAAGGAGAGATAAGAGGCACACGTTTCCGTTCATTGGTAAATATATCTACTGATTGAATGTGTCTTTCTCTGCTGGTCAGTAACTTTACCA